TAGGGTTTGGGTCAGCTAGTTAACAATACCTGCCACATTCATAGGATTATTGGAAGGATTCAATTATACAGTGTAATAAGTTCTCTCATTCTATTGATGGTCTTAAAAACTAGAGTGTATCTTGAATTAATTTATTCTACTTTTGTATTCAAGCCTCAGAAAATCTATGAGTAGTTACTTGAATGTTAAATGAGTTCACTTTATTGCCTACAGTCTAGAAATTGGCATAAATAGGTTTAGGAATAAATACTGCATTGTTTCCAACCAGCTCCCCTGTTTTCAACCAAGATTAAGAACCATTCCCACATCTGGCTAATCTTTGTGTAACATACATCCTAACCCTCATTGTCATGGGTTTGTATTTATATCTGGGCTTCTCTGTTAGGGCTATGTTGATTGGTTTGAAGATTATTTGTCTAGAACAGTGTCCCATCTTTCATGCCACATGCCCTATTTTCTCTTTGAGCATTGCTGAAAGAACCAAATCTTTCCTATTGGTACAATTAACATGGGTATTACTTTTTTCCCTTCCAAAGCCATTGGTGTCAACAGTGGCAGAGCAGTGATTATTATTATTATTATTATTATTATTTTTAGCATTTTCTCCTAAAGTCCTTCAATTTGCTGCACAAAACTTGGAAGTTCCTAGAGCTGTCATCCAGATTGCTGCTGATAAACATCATTTGTTTCAATGATAATCAGCTGAATTATATCTTAATTTGTAAAATAAACAAATAACTTTAGGGCATCAAAGCTCCCTAGTAATTGGGAAACATTCTAGGAGAATGTTTGTTTTGAGGAAGACCATTTTCTGGAGGATACTTCTGCTTTGGGTGAAAATCATACTGAAGAATAAAAAGCAGCCTGTCACTAATGGGGAAATAATTGGGAAAGAGGCAGATCTGTGAAGTGACTCTAGCCCTCCTCTTGCTTTCTTCAGTGACCCACAAAATACTTATAGATTTAAAGAGTTATTTATGAGTCAGAATGTAGCCAGAGGCTCATGAGAGATGGCAGGAGAAATCCTGAGCAGCTAACCCACAGAGTGACAGCCCTAATTTGAGCTCAATGGGCTAGCTGGGAGGTAAATTTGAAAATAGGCCACATATCCTGAATATTCATGCAGGAGCTATCACCTGGTCCTACAGCATGAGGTAGAGGAAATAATCATAGTCACTAGTGTTCAGACAAAGTTGTTAAGAAAAGGCCCTGGGAAGTGCATAAGTCCTAGAGGTGAGCTGAGAGTAGAATGGAGGAGTGAGAACCTTAAATGAGGTCACAGTGAGTAATAAAATGGAAATTGCCAAAGAATTTGGAAATGACCAGAGAAACTTGCAGAATGTATCATGAAGTTGGAGGCTCTTCAGGTTTATTACTTACGAATCTCTTCATTCTGATGAAATACTGGTAGTTTATAAATTCTGTCATTTTGGGTGAAACAAGACTTTGATGTGTATATGGTTTTTTGTTTTTTTGTTTTGTTTTGTTTTTGCTGCCTGCATTTATTTCTTTTTGTAGACATTGTTCGAAGTGATGTTGCCCTGGATAAACAGAAAGGCTGCAAGATTGCTCAGCACCCTGATGTTATGCTGGAGCTCCAACGGGAGAAGGCAGCTCAGATGCATCTTGTTCTTCTAAAGGAGCAATTCTCTAATACTTACAGTAATCTCATATTAACAGGTAAGGCTATTGGAGTCATCTGGAATCTTAGAGTATTATAGATTGTTGGCCTCCATTTGTTAACAACTTGATGCCTGGGAGACATTAAAGGGGCTCTAGATGAGCCCACATCTGTCTGTCTCCTCCACTATATCCCTTTTTAAATTGTGGTGACTTTTGTCTTCCTATAAAAAATATTTCTTGTAGTTTACAGATGTATTTTGGCTTGAGGTTATAGGCAACTCAGCATGTGTGTTCTCAAAAGACAGAACCAATGGAAACCTAATGAAGCCTTATAAAAATATGACTTTTTAGATGTGTGCCAGTAGATTTGAAAGAATTACTAAATTTGGTGTCTAAGAAGCAGCTATTTTCCTCTTTCTGTGTATGCCCTTTCTATGAACCCAGTGAACATAAAGATGAAATGTAAAAGAGATAATGATCCACAGGCTGAGCTGAGAATGTTCTATTCCTGGTGGAGTTTGAAAATATCTGGAGAATTTGATTTTCTTTTTAAGAGCAAAGAGGCTATGAGACAGCCATACTCCCTTACATCCTTGGTTCAAGGAGGGAAGTGAATTTGTGTGAGAGCTCAAAGGAGAAGCAACTTTTTGCAGGGCTGCCTGAAAACTTGGCTGGTAAAGAGCATGTGAGTTGCATGCTTTTGTCAAACTGGAGAAGATTCTAATAGCAGACTCTCATGTGAGAATCATGGAGGACTTGAGATGGACTAAGAAGAGCTGTTTAAGTTACCTCCATTGTCTTGAGGGCATGCAAGGCATACCTGCATATATTGATCTAAATAAAGTTTAACAAATCAAAAGTGTCTGTTTCCCCTTGTTTATGAATATTTAAAAAATAAAGAGATGGAATGTCTGACAGGCTATGAACATCTCACACTTATTTTTGTATACTCCAAGTTAGGAAAATTTTAACTTTTTTTTACAGGCTTCCTGGCATTTCACCAGGAATTGCTGAGTGGCAACCAAATTGTTTTGCTTTAGAAAAGGCACAAGTCTCTTCCAACTTTTCATCTTGTACCTGGTGGAAAACCCAACAGCACGAGATGAAAGCCAGATTTAAATGTGGCTTTGGTGAGCAGAGAAGAGGATTATGGATTTCATAAGTATAGGCCTTGTTTTTTTGCCCTTTGATAGGTCATTAAGGAGGGAAAACTCAAAAGTGATTTATGGCCAATGAATTATTTCCCTAAGTTGGTTAATGACACTGTTTAAGTTTAGATGTTTGGGAAGAACATAGATTTTTATCCAAATTTCTTTATTCTGTCTCAGTACTTACATGTACTTAGTATTTTCAAATTCAGTTATTAGAAATGAAATATTTTTATTCCATTCTTATTTTAATTTTAGGTCCATATTAAAGAGGTCAGCCCCCATGTTCTTTAATGTGGCATAGAAAGGGCTTAAAGTAATTCTAACCCTAAACTGTGGATCCAGATTGTAGCTTGAAGGCATATTATCTTTGAAAACACAAGTGTTCTATTGAGTTCAATGGAATCTTTTCTAATTCTCAGTAACATAATCCCTTTGGATGTTTATTCGCAGTTCAAACTGTTGGAATCAACATTGTCAACTTTTACCCTGACAACTTGCTTACTTTCCACTAAACAAACTTACCCTAGAGAAGAGCCTCTTTCCTGCTCTTACTTCTCCCAAGCTGCTTCAAAGAGTCCTCAGGCATTTTCCACATTTTTCACCCAAATGCGTGTACAGAGGTGGTACCTTGCTGCAGACAGAGCATTTGGTGTGCCCCAGTTTGTTTACATGAAAGTTCACAAGGTTTTGGTTCCAGGTGTTGGGAAGAGATGGAGTCATTTCAATTTAGCACCAATGATAAAACTATTTTAATGTCCTTGAACCGAGTCTTTGATTTTACACAGTGTGGTTTCCTAATTGTTATGAAGTTTAATCCTTGATTTCTTGTATAAATTTTGAGAACATGGTCTCCAGACAGCTAAACATAATATTTAAACATAACTAAACTAACTTTTGTAAATATTTCCCTTTTCAGTGATGAATGTATATTGGTAAGGAGGGTGAGGTTGAAGGGGCAGAGACCTCTCAAATGAAGTGACTTTCTTTACCAACATGTTCAGAACACCTACTCTAGGATTTCTGCTTGGTGATGTTCTACTTATTTTGTATAACTCTGGCATAATATTTGAAATGTCTGCAATGAAAGTATTTATGTGGAACAGGATGAGGAAACTGGGCCTCCAAAAATCTCAGAAAGAGCTCATTTTCTTCAAACTTCTGCCCTCCTCTCAACCCTTCTTCTCAATTCTTTACATAAATAATTATATAATTATTTATTTCATGTATATGGGTAGCAGGGTATCATAATTGTTTCCTGGTCAGTTGTGGTATATTCTTTATTTTAAAATTGGATAACTAAGATCATAGTATGGGAAAAAGTTAATAAAGTCAGCATAGTAGAAAATTGATAAAGTGAAATGTCAGAGTTAAAAGCATATTAAAAATGATGGTTGTTGCCCTCCACTTCACTAGCACGCCCTCATTCTTAGATATTCCCTCTTTGGCTGATGTTACTATCAGCGTTGAGGTGAGAGGCATGCCTTCATACTCTGCATTCCAGCTCATGATCTTTCTTAAACAGCTACTCCTCAGATGCTGGCAAATGATATTCTAGGTCTTCTGACCAATCAATAAAAGGAAACAGCTCTGCAGTCCTTAGTGACAGCCCAGTTAACAGAAACTAATAACAATTCTTTAATGTGTATATCTTATTGACGTATTCCTCCTTACATCATAGTTTTGGAAAAGTGGATTGTATTTTTGCATGGTATTAAACATGTCTTAATGTTTTCATGCAAATGATTTACATAGCAATGGAAATAATGTTAGCCCCACATAATCTAGAGGGTTTTTGAAATAAACTCCAAGGTTTTGGGAAGGTGATGGAGTAATACCAATAGAACATCAGTGATAGAACTATTTTAACTGGTGACAAGTAACACGCTGCACTTTTCACACTGACTCACAGTGCATGGATGTATGCTTCTGTAGCTTCCAGTTTGTCCCAGAGCTTTTAAGAAAGAACAGGGATTGTTCTTCCATTTCTTTGTGTTCTCATGATTCTTAATGTAATAATGTTCTATATATTTGTTGGAAATGTTCTGCTGTGTATATGATGAATGAATTCACTTGAGATAATTTTGACAGCTAATTAATAACTTTTATAGGTTCAGATTCAATTATTCATTTCCCCTCACCTTGCCCCACTCCCATACTTTTTGAGGTGTAGATTCACCTTTTGTGGTAGATTCCTATAATCAACTGAAAAAGTCAGCCTTAAGGGGCAATGTATTTTCTAGGATTTTGTTTAGAACGTAAGCTTCTGGAGGGCAAGCAATGTTATAATTGTACAGCATTCTGCATAAATGAGGTCAAATTTAAACAAAATTTATTTGTGATGTGAAGTCATAGTCAAGCCTCTATAACCAGGCAGCCTGAACGGAAACTATTATAAATGGATGGCATTAGCTAAGATGCTTTCCAATGAGGACTCTTCTCATGTTAATTGCTGCCACTTTTTGTTTTGTACCTCCTCTTTCAGTCTTAGATTCCAAAGTGGATTGGGATACCTATGGTCAGCTTTACTGTGTTACTGTGGCAAATGAATTGAGCAAAAGAAGCTCATACTTCCCTGTTGTGGCCTATTCTTCTAACTTTAGTTGAACAAAGGGCTCAAATCAATGGAAGGAGAACTGTTCTTTCAGTTCCCATAAATCATAATTGCTCAGAGGACTGTTTCCAGGTCTTTTAAATTATTTGCATTACATTCTGTGGTATTAAATATAACTTTAACCATTTCTCTGTCAATGTACATTAATTTATATGTTGAAACGTTTATTTCTGTAGAGTAGATTTCTCAATGTGGGATGTCTGGGTCAAAAGGTTTGTATTTTTAAATCTTATAAAATCAGGGTTTTTGTGGTATAATTTATAAGAAACAATAAATTTTGACAAATGTATATATCATAGAGTCAAAGAGCCACCCCCACCATCAAGATACAGGTTTCCCTCGCCCTAGAAGTTCCCGCGTCTCCCTTTGCAATCTCCTTTCCCTCCCTTCAGTCTTTAGTTGTATCTGGTCTGATATTTGTTCCTAAATGTCATATAAATGGAATAATAAAGTGGTTGTGTGTCTGATTTCTTTCACTTATCATAATTCTTTTTGAGATTCATTCACTTGTTGCATATATCAGCATTTCATTCCTTTTTATTGCTGAGTAATTTTTAATGTTGTGAACATGCTACAACTTTTTATCCATTTCTCTGTTGGTTTGTTTCTAGTTTTTAGTGATTATGAATAAAGCCACTATAAACATTTGCTCTCAGCTCTTTGTGTTAATGTATTTTTTCTTTTTCTTAGGTAGTACAGTACCTAGGAGTGGGAATGATTGGTTTCATGGTGTCTGTTTTAACTTAAAAGAAGCTGTCAGATTGTTTTTCAAAGTGGCTGAAGCTATCTTGTATTCCAGTAGGATGTGAGAGTTCTAGTTTATCCACATTTTTCCAACAATTAGTATTGTCTGTCATTTAAATTTTAGCTACTCTAGTGAATATATAGTAGTGTCTTGTGGTTTTAATTTGCAATTTACCTTATGACTAATGGTATTGAACATCTCTCATGTGTTTATTTGCCATCTATATATCTTCTTTGGTAAAGTGTTTTAAGCCTTTTGCCCATTTAAAAAAAATAATGAGTTTTGTTTTCTTACTATTGAGTTTTGAGAGTTCTGTATATATTTTGGGCTACAGGTCCTTTTTCAGATATGTGATTTGCAATTTTTTTTTTCTGTGACTGTTTCCTTTTTTTTTTTTTTTTAGAGTGCGGAGGGGCAGAGGGTGAGGGAGAAAGAGAATCTTTTTTTTCTTTTTAAGGAGGGGGAGTGGGGAGGGTAGGAGCAGAGGGAGAGAGAGAATCTTAAGCAGGGCTCCTCATGCCCAGTGCAGAGCCCAATGTCAGGCTCGACCTCACAACCCTGAGATCATGACCAGAGCTGAAATCAAGAGTCAGATGCTTAACTGACTGAGCCACCCAGACGCCCTGTCTTTTTCTTTTTTTTTTTTTTTCAGATTTTATTTACTTATTTGAGAGAGACAGAGATAGTGAGAGAGAGCACGAGCAGGGAGGAGAGGGATGCAGGGCTCCATCCCATCATCCCTGGGATGCTGACCTGAGCTGAAGACAGATGCTTAACCAGCTGAGCCACCCAGGTGCCCTGTCTTTTTCTTTTCTTTTTTTTATTTTTTTAACAGTTTCTTTTAGAGAGCAGAGTCTTAATTTTGATGAAGTCCGATTTATGAATTTTTTTTGGTTTGTACTTAAAATTGTGATGCACCTTGCCAGATAATTTTCAGAAAAGATTATAGCAATTCCCATTCCCACAAGCAGTGTATGAGAGCAGTTATTTCCTGGCATTCTCATTAGCAATGGGATCAGTGTTCTTTTCAGTCTTTCTCAGCCTAACAGGTGAGAACTATTATCTCACTGTTGCAATTTTCTGGTGATAGCCGGAGAGAGTATATTTTCACACATTTATTGTTGATTTGCATTTTGTTTTGTGAGTTACTTATTCATATTCTTTGTCCTTTTTTTTTTAATTGGTGTTGATCAGTTTGTGAGTACTGTTTGTGAATTAGGAATGTTAATCCTTTGTCATATGTATTGCAAACCATTTTCCTGATAGCATTCATCTTTTTACTCTGTTTTTAATTTAGAGCTTTAATTTCTTACTATAACTGGAATTTATGTTTATATTAGTGTGATGTAAGTATATCACATTATTTTCTTCCAAACTATGAATGCAGTTTTTAAAATAAAACATTCTTTTACCACTAAATTGAAACATATATGTTATATATTATACTCCCACATATATGTGCCCCTGTTTCTGAACTGTATTTTCTGTCATTTTTCTATTCTTTATTTCTGTGCCAATGCTATACTGTTTTGATATCTGGTAAGGTTTATTAACCACTCTCTCATTCCCCCCCCCAAGGTTTTCATAGCTATTCTCATATAATTACTTTTTGAAATGAGTTTCTCATTTCTTCCAGTTCAATAATACTCATCACTGGATTCTGATTGGAATTGTATTCAATTTATATCCTGATTTGGAGGGGATTGATATTTTTCTGATATTAAGTCTTCCACTTAAAAATATGTTACATCTCTTTACTTGTTCATTTCTTGTTTTATGTCATTTAAAAATATTTCATAAATTTTTTTCCTGTATCTTTTTTGTTTAACTTATTCTTTAATATTTTATACCTTTGCTAATGTTGAGAGTGAATTTCTTTCTCTTTATAACTTATTTCCAGTGTAAGAAAGAAGCTGTTGATCAAAGACAAAGGTAGATTTTGGTCTCTTTTCTAAATTTTACCAAGTATTTTCTATTTAATTTCTAAAAACCTCACAAACAATATTGAAAAATAGTGATAATGTTTGCTTTTCACATTTCAGTGAAATGACTTCATTATTTCATGTGCATAAACGTCTGAGTATTTATCCACTAAAACTAATACTTTAAAGTAAAAATATATTTTTTCAAAATGAGAGCAACTTTATTATTTTTATGATTATAGTAGAGATAAAAATATTTTTATTAATATACTTTTAGACAGCTCTATCCATATACTCATATACATAAGCTATAAACATATAGGAAACACATACCAGTTTATACAAACCAAGTAATGTAATACATGCCTATTATTTGTAACATTCTTTCTCAATATTTTGTGAACATCTTTCTATATCAAAGAATATAGGCTTATATTCTTTTTTTTTTTTTACCTCAAAAAAACCATTTTAATTCCAACCTAACAGCGCCAGGTGCAATGTCTGGGGACAGACTCTGGGTACAATGCTGTGTGGCGATCACTCACACACACAGGGCTCTGAGAAGGCCCCCGAGGGGGACTTACCTTCAGGGGGCTGAGCCAAGGGGGGGAAGGGGTGGCCCCAGAACAGGGGGCAGGGGCAGGCAGGGGGAAAATGTGCTACTTCTTGGCAAAGGAGATCTTCATGGCATTGTTCTGGGTGATCTTGAAGCCCTGCAGTGCGTCACGAGCAGCCCCTGCCTGTACCTCATTGTCAAATTCCACAAAGGCAATGTCGTGCCGCCCAGGGACCAGTTGGACCTCCTTGAAGCCAGGGAACTGGTTGAGAAGCATGGACAGCATGAGCTCGTTGGTCTCCTCGGGCAAGTTGGTGAGGAATAAGATGTGATTTGGTGGATTTTCTGAAAGAGGCTGAGCAGGCGGCACCTGCCCCGGCATAAGCTGGCGGGATCTGGCCAGGAGCCAGGCCTAGAGGTGGGATCATGCCAGGAGGCGGCATGTAGGGAGGCTGGCCAGGCATGTGGTGCATGATGCGGGGCGCCTGGGTCATCGGGGGCATGCCTGGGACAGGCCCCTGGACAGCCCCCACCACGGGGGCGGCTGTCCCACCCTGTACGGCCTTCTTGGCCGCTGGGGTCTCCTGGCTCTTGGGCTTCCTCTTCTCCCGTTTGTGGTCCCGCTCCACGAAGGTGCCCTTCATCTTGGCAATGATATACGAGTGAGTCTTGGCATACTGAATGCGCATGGGCTTGTCGTAGAAGGGGAAACCCTGCATGGAGCGCAGGGCATTGGTGGCGCTGCTGACCTCCTTGAAAATGACAAATGCCTGGCCCTTCATCTTCAGGCTTCGGGAAACCAGGATATCCAGGATCTGGCCAAACTGGGAGAAGATGGCGTAGAGGGACTTCTTCAGCTCATCCTTCTTGATCTTCTCGTTGAGAATGTTGATATAAATAGTGTGGTTGGGGTGGGTCTCCGGAACTGCCATGGAGAGAGATGCCGAGGTAGAGCTGAAAGAAGGAAAAAAGGTAACTTCAGCCCTGGGTTTCTCCAAATCCTCTGCCCCAAAGCGGTCTTAACGGACTGCTCAGGGATCTTCCTTCCAGGAGGAAGTCAGGAGAGGCGGGAAGGAGGCACAGCTTGGAAAACAGAGCGAAAGGAGGACTGCTTCCGCTCCCCCGCGTGGTAGAGGGAGATCTCCTAGGCTTATATTCTTTTTAATGGCTACATTAGAATTGTTTTATGGGTATATTGTAATTATTTAACTGATCTTTTATTGATAGACATCATGGTTGTCTTTAATTTTTCATGATTTTAAACAGTGCTGTGATGAACATCATTACATATGTATCTTTGTACACTTTCTAGAAGTATGGATGCTATGTCAAAGGAATGAACATTTAAACTTTTGATACATTTAGTAAGTGGACTTTTTTTGTAAATAGTAAATGGACTTTTAGGAAGGTCATGTCAATTTATACTTACACCAACAGTGCGTTAGAGAAAACTAATTTGTTTTTTGCTATCACCGATTATTTTCTTTTTATATGTGTTAGTGTAATAGATTATAATTGATATGACATTGTTTCTAATTATAGTTCATTGATTACTAATGAGGTTAACTGTCATTTTTATTTCTTCTACGAATTGTCTATTCTTTAGCCCACTTTATTGGGTTATTGGTCAATTTCTTATTGAATTATAAGATCCTTTTTATATATCAGTGATAGTAATCCTTTGTCATGTATATTCCAAAAAAAGTATTCTTGGGCTTTTAAAATTTATTTTTGTTGAGTGCATAGTTTAGTAGTCTTTAAATTTTGTTTTTGTTTTCTGTATTTCTCTTCCTCAGTGTTCCTCCCTGGCAGGCTAGCAGTTTGGCTATGGTCTCTATTGCCCTTGGTGTTCCTAGCTCAACCAGGTTTTATCACGGTGTGTAGTTCTACTCTGCGATGATATCTGGGGTCTTGTGCATCCAGCCTCTGGGCCACATGGCTTGCCTGAATTCTAGGTGTCTTGCAGCCCCTCTCACCACTTCTCCCTGGCAACTTCCCATCAACTCTTGTCTCTGGGCAGCAGGTTAGCAGTGTTGTTTTATTTTGTTTTTCCACTTAGTGAGTCTGGCTCTGGTTTTCCATCTCTCCCAGGGCACTTTTTATCTGCATTATCTCTTAGCAGTCAAACTACTGTGACATCACTCTGACAGTGATGAGGTTGACAGGTTTGGAACAGAGACTACTTTAGATATGGCAGTCAGGGAAGGCCTCTCTTAGCTGAGACTTTCCAGCTGTGTAATCCGTCATTAGTATTTTCTAAGCATCAGTGTCCCCATCATTAATAGGTTGGCAGTAATATATGCATTGCTTTTCTTTTTGGAGTTACTTTTGGGAATCATTGTCTCAGAGTATGTTATAACTAGAGAAATAGTGTTCTGATCTGTGTTTGAATAATAAGATAACAAATGTGAAATACTTTATAAATGAATCTGCTTCATGTCTTTATTAATGAAGGAATCACAGTGGTCCCTTGGTGCAGAAATACATAAGTAGTTGAGCAATTTTTAATTCTACCTAGTTATGTTCGTGCAACGTGTGAGCTTTGGAATCAGACAGTCTGCGTTTGACTCTAGAACAGCCGCTTACTAGCTTTCTTATTTTGGGCAAATTTTTATCCTCTCTTTAGCTTTGATTTCCTCAGGCATAAAATGGTGTTTGTATCTTACATATCTCAGAGAATTATTTGAGGATTAAATGAGATTGTGTGCATAATGCTTTAGCACAGTGCCCTCGTGTACAGTAAGTATCCCATATTTGTTAGATTTATTATTGTGATTAATTTTACTATATTTTCAAATGCAAATATTACTCTTGGGTAGCTCAGTTTCTTTTCTGGTACTGAAATTTGTCTGTTTTTACAACGTCAGTTGACGAAATATGGTAAGATAAAACCAATTGGAAACTATTTTGAGCTCTGCTGTTAACTTGTGGTAACTTCATGATAAATCTCCCTACCGCTCTGAACCTTGGATTTTTCAGTTATCTAGGATGTGTGTAAGCATCAGTAAAATAAAGCACAAAGAGTCACTCAGTTTCCTAGAAAAGAAATGTCTGAAAACATGTCGTGTGGGAAGCATTGTTCATAATTTTTTGGTTAAGCATTTTGAGTTCCTTGAAGGCATGACACTAACTAGATGACTATTACTTGGTATTAGACTTTTCCTGATTATCCTAACATGAAGCTCTGATACTGAGCAGGACAGAAATTAGGTGGTATTCTACATATTAGAATGAGTCTAATGCTGTTATCAACATAATGAAATGTCTACATAAAAGTCAGTGACCATATACAAGCACACAACCATGAGGTTAAATAAATGACTAGAAGTTCCCCTTTCCTCTAGCTGCTTTATGGTTGTTTTTTTTTTTTAAAAGATTTTATTTATTTATTTGACAGAGAGAGAGAGAGAGAGTGAGAGCGCACAAGTGGGGAGGGGGTGGTAGGGAGAGGGAGAAGCAGGCCCTCATGGAGCAGGGAGCCTGATGTGGGGCTCAATCCCAGGACCCCAGGATCACGACCTGAGCTGAAGGCAGACATTTAACCAACTGAGCCACCCAGGCATCCTGCTTTATGGTTTTAAGTACAAAGATACACTCAGTTGCTGGTAGGTCCTCTTATGAACCATCACATAAGTGAGAAAAATGTTTTTTACAAACTCAGTTTCTTATTCTTAGATTTAACAAACATAAAATTACGTTTCAGTAAATATGATAAGAAAATACATAACATAAAAAGGATATAATTATGCAAACATTACATTTTGTTCTATTGACAATTAGTATAATCACTAAAGGATATCTTTAAAAAGTGCTCCTGTGGGCACCTGGGTGGCTCAGTTGGTTAAGCGACTGCCTTCGGCTCAGGTCATGATCCTGGAGTCCGGGGATCGAGTCCCGCATCGGGTTCCCTGAGTCTGCTTCTCCCATCTCTCATTCTCACTCTCTCAAATAAATAAATAAATAAAATCTTTAAAAAAATGTGCTCATGTTCTGCTTCTCTCAAAATTAGATTTGGGAGCATCAGTTGATTTCTCTGCCAAGCTGATGCAAGCTTTGTCTGTGTGAATCACAGAATGAACTTCCTTGTCGGCAGGAGTATTTGTATTAGGGAACATGCAGAAATGATGATTATTTTTTGCTTTTCAAACATAGTCTGTAAAAGATGATGTAGGAAGGAGTCCTTTGAATTCATTTTAACTTTAGTTCTCCTGTTCTCTTACTATGAAAGCAGTTTCTCCTACATTCCTTCAGTTAGGCTGATGGCATCACATCAAACATAATTGAATAAAAGTGATTTTTTTGGACAATGAATTAAATGCTGACAGTTCTGTGAAGGTCTGGTTGAACCCGGTGGTGTGTTTTAGAGTATTTAGGTCAGTGATCTCCAAGGATGAGGCAGGTTTGGAAAAGGGTGTATAAGCACTCCAGGAGATGTGCAGATAAAACCCCATTGAGTGGAAGAGTTTTGCTAATAATTAATTACTGTCAGATAATTATTAGTTTTATACATTTTTATTCTGAGAATGGAATATTTTCATAATTGGGAGGAATTGATAATGTACATCATCTGTTAGTTTATTTTCAGTGTATTTCAACGTGCTGCAGTTCACATGTGCCCAGTTAAGTGGATTTAAAGAGATTTTTTAAAAAAAGAAATTGGATTAAATATGGTTCTAGTAATGCCAGCACAAAGGAACAAAAAGAAAATTGCAAAGCTGATGGTTTGTCTTTTTTTTTTAAGTTTTATTTATATTCCACTTTTAACATACTGAGTAATATGTTTCAGGTGTACAATTTAGTGATTCAACACTTACATACAATCTTTTTCAGTCACATAATTTGGTAAAAATAATCTGAAAAGAAGTTATCCAAAAAATTTCTGAATTATCAAGAAGACTATTTGAAAATTGTAATTAATTGAATTTATATATTATTTTCAATAATGTGTCTTATTGAAAGTTTTTTAATGTCCAGATATTATTATTACTATTTTTTAAATAGGAGAAAAAAAGGATTTTGAATCATTATCAAAATAAAACAACTTTAAAATATTGCTTATTTAATTTTTAGCTGATTAATTAGGAGTTTCTATTTTGACCTATGTTTTGTAATATAACTAAAATACAATTGCAATAAGTGCATCTGTAATATATGTATGTATTACATATATGCAATTATATATTTCATATATATTAATACTTATATATGGATGATTTATGATAAAAATGTTTTACTCATATACAATCAAAAAAATTTGGAGACCAACCTATGAAGTTCTTTGTTCCTCAAAGTAGTGTAAGAGGGTAGATGTGAGCAGGAACTTTAGGGTTAAACAGACCCAGGTTTTGATCCTGTGCTGACCATGTACTAGTTGTGTGGAGCTTGGGCAACTACTTCATCTCATTCCCATTTTTGAAATAGGGAAGGTAATATTTTACATGGTTTGTGAGGTTTAGATTAATATTTTGAAGTGCTTAATACAGAGCCATACACTCAATGAGCGTTAGTTATGTTGTGTTATAATTATTATGTTGTTATATTACTAAAGAGATTGTCCTTCAGGGAATCTTCCATAAATAAGCTCATGTCTTGTGTACTATCACAATGCAAAGTGAAAAAGAGCTAAATAGATTTCAAAAGAAGCAAGTCCTTAAGTTTTATGATTGTTGTCAGGACTAAAGTTTTTCATGCATCTGGGGTGTGTGTGTGTGTGTGTGTGTGTGTGTGTGTGTGTGTGTGTGTATAAGGGCTGAGGCTTTGGAGGAAGTAGAGTATTTATAGAGATCATAGGTGCATGGGCACATGAACATGCTTGCCACCCTTTTCCCCTAGAACAGCTCTAGTCTCTGTTAGGGTTCTGAAGAGGAGAAATGCAACCATCCTACAATTTCTTTAGTTTTTGGCCTATTTCCTTTGAATGCAATAGCTTCAGCTGTTATAGTTTACCTGTTCCTTTCCTTAGTATGAAGAAAACTCACAGGTCTGCAGATAAAGCTTCACACATAATCTGGGTGAGTGAAAGTATGGTGGGAGTAGGAAGTGATAAATTGTACTCTGCAGCAGGGAAAAATAACATTTTGTTCATTTGGAATAGCCA